GAGGGTGATTCTCCCTCCTCTTCTTCTGCCCGGTGGTGGGGAAGGGTCTGAATGCACTGGAGCAAACTCACCGCCCTGCCTGGTGAAGCCCCAGCCAGTGACCCACAAGGAGGTGCCTGGGCTGATCTCCTCATCAAAGAAGGGCAGGCAGATTGGACTCACGGGCTCTGGAGCAAAGAGGAAAGGCTGGTTGAAGAGGACGTCACACACACACCCCTTCCCAGCCTAGGAGCGCTGGCGTTCTGGGAATTGCCTCATGGGGGCTTGCTGTGCCTAACCACCCCCACGTGTGAAATCACCCCCTTGGGGTTGGCCGTCTCCCCCCCAGCCACCTCTCGGGGCCTGGGAGCGGCTCTCACCTGGGTCCCTCAGAGGGCTCTGCAATTTGACCAGAGCAATGTCCTCGTCTTTGGGGAACATGTGCTTGATGTCGAGGACAAAAACCTTCTCCACCACAGCCACGGTGGTGCCTGAGAACATTTCGGAGCCACAGCGCAGTTGCCAGTCCTTGGTCACCAGGCGGTTCCTGTGGGCAGACTGAGGCTCAGCGCTTTCCCTTCTCCATGAGTGGCCAGGACAGGCAGGGCATTCCCTTCCCTTCCCTTCTGTTCCCTCCCTCCCTCCCTCCCTCCCCAAGGTGAGCCCCAAGAGATAAAAAGGCCTCTTTCTGCCCACCCGCCTGCCATCCTGCCAGCTGCCCGAGGCCAGGGGACTTACCGGAAGCAGTGGGCTGCAGTCAAGACCCACTGGGCATCAATGAAGCTCCCACCACAGACATGCTGCCCTTTGTACTGCAGGCTGGCTTGCCAGGGCCACGCCTTGGTGGAGGCTGGGTTACCGCCCACGACCCGTGGCAATTTCGCACTCTTGCCACAACCTGCATCCAAAGGACAGAGAAAACCCCTCAGGTTACCCCTGGTTTGGGGCCAGAAGATCTCAGGACCCTTTCTGCTTCCACAAGGCCACGGACAAACCACACTCTCAGACCGTGTCGCGTGTGCCTGTATCTCTTTCCAGCATCTGATGAAAGGCTGGTTGGCAGACCGGGAGCCATCTTGGGGCACCCACCTCTGCACCAGAAGCTCCTCTAACAGGAGGGTCCAGAGGGAATTTTTTTTCAGAGGAAGGGGCAAAGAAAAGCTGCACAGTGGCATGTTAGCATGATCCACCCACACCGTCCACCTGTCCCCGCCCCCCCCCCGGAGCTTCCCAACAGCGCTTCTGGCGGGTCTTGCTGGCCAGGTCCTCGGAAAGGTCCATCCTCTGAATCCAGTTCTAGGAAGAGAACGCAGGGGGTGCCCATACTTACTGGAGCAGGTGAGAGAAACAGCAAAGCCCGACGGGCACGGCCTGCCAAAGAAAGGTGTGGTTGGAAAGCACCACGGCTGCCTGGGCTGCTGCTGCTGCCGCCAGCGAACACCCAGGGGCCGCCCTTCCCTGCCTGCTTCTCTGAGGCCAGGAATTCTCTGCGAGCCCCTCCTCCCTCGGGCTCCACTGCCCGCCCACCCAACCCATCCTGCGTTCTGCTGGGGGTGGGGGTGGGGCATGTGCCCTGCTCAGAGCACCCGCTGGGTGTCTTGCATTGCTTGCTTTCTTGCTTTTTTTTATATATAAAAAGGGGGGGAGGGGTGGGTGGAATCTGCCTGAAGGGAGGAGACACAGGGTTCAGGAGCTCCCCATGGATGCCCGATGGGGAGGGCCAGTCCAGGGCTGGAGGGAGGGGCTGGCAAGGGTGAAGGGGCCATTACTGGGGAGGGGGCCTTGTTGGCAAAAAAGGAGAAGCCCCCACGACCCATCCCCATCACTCCCCAGAGGGGAGTGGCCCCAATCCCAACCCACCAGCGGCGAGGCCTACCTTCCGGAGTCTCTCCAGTGAAGCTCGCCACCTTGCAAGGCCACTTCTCGGAGAGACAGACCCTTCGCGGTGCCAGGTACCACTGCACGGAAGGTAGGAGCGCTGTGGAACAGGTGAGAACAGGTGCTGTGGTCAAGGGACCCTCCCTTGACAGCTTCCTCCCTCCTGCCCCCCCACCTGCCAACCCTTCTGCGGGGCACAGCTCCCTCTGTGGCAAGAATTTCACACACCCCCCAGCACCTCCTCCCAGGCATTTCTCAGTACTTCACCTTCTGCTGGGCTGGGCTGGGCTGGACGGAGAAATCCCTCCGGGCCTTCCAGTCCTGGCATGATGCGGATGGCCTGGCCAGACTTGGGTGTGGCTCATGGCTCGCGGCTCAGGCTATCTCCCAACAGCAGCCCCTCTTCTCTCCCCCAGGACAGCCCCTCCCTGATCAAAGACTGTCCCCATTTGGTAAGGGGGGGTGGGGGAGCTTCCTCAGGCCTTGTGAATGTGCCTTAATCAGCCCCCTTGTCCAACTCTCTCAAGGCCAGTGGAAGCCCCTGGAATCACCTGGCCAGGTGGGGCAACCACCCCAAACACTCTTGGGTGGAGGCAGGGGTCCTTGGCACCAGACGGCATGAGGTGGAGATGGGTGTCCAGGCATGGAAGTCGCCAAACACAAGACCACTGGACACCTTCCTCTTTGCCACCAGTGGCCCCAGGTGTTCCCTGGAGCCCCTCAGCATTCCCCAGGAGATGGGGGTGTGTGTGTGCCTGGAGCTGAAGGAGCAAGAGAGGCACTGCAGGAGGGGAGGACCCAGAGGGAGGCCAACCAGAATGCCTGTCTCATGGCCTGATTCACTCCCCTCCAGATCTCCTTCTAACTTGGCCACTGCCGGGCTGCCCAAGAGGTTGGTGGGGGTGCTGATGCAGCCTGCAATGCTGGCTGGCCACCGAGAGTAGCTGCACTGGGGCTGTCAAGCTGCCAGCCGGATCCTGGACTGCAATGCAGAGAAGGAAGGATGTGCTCTCTCTCGCGCTCTCTCTCTCTCTCTCTCTCTCTCTCTCTCACACACACACACACACCCACACACACACACACACACAGAGGGGGGGGTGGCTGCTGACTTCCTCTGCTTGCTTTTGAAGACATGGGTGGCTCACAGTCCCCAGGGTGGGGGAAGGGGGCTGGAGAGGGCCCTCCCCCAGGCAGCACACAAGTCCCTTCCAGCTTTATGGGAGGTTGCGGGAACTGGTGGTAGGTGGTAGTGGCAACAGGGGGAGACACGGTGGCTGGGCTTTCCCCTGGGAGCCGGCCCCTGAGCTGACTGTGCCGTACCTGCCGCGGTAGCCCATCTCGGTGCAGGCTGCCTTCGCCATGGGGGCCTCAAAGCCCTCGTAGCAGGCCCAGGCCCAGGTGCCCGTCTCTTTGTCCTGCACTTGAAGGCTGGATCCGTGGCGGGAGAGCCGGACTGCAGCAGGAAAGAGGGAGAGGGAGTCCAGAGGCAGGCAGGCAGGCAGGCGCCGGCTTCCAGGCCACACAGGAGCCAACGTGTTCCAGCCACCGTTGGAGGGCCCCCCCCCGGTGTTGACCCCATGCTCACCTCCCGCCAGGAGAGAGGAACAAGCAGAGGAGGACGGACTCACCTCCCGCTGGGGGGCCTTCGGGCACTTGCTGCACGCAGCCTGTCTCATCCTCTCCCCAGGTACAGTCGAGCTGCCCGTCACACAGGAGGGGGAGGGGGATGAGCCGGAAAGTCTGGCTACAGAAGAAATAGTTGGACTCAATGGCCACCTTGACTGGGAGAAGACAGACACGGACAGAGAGAGACGGAGGGTCAGTGGTTTTGGTGAGGAAAAAAATCTGGGAAGCATGGAAGTGTGGCCGCATGAAGGGAGAGTTGGAGATACGGCCCCATGTCGTGCCCAGCACCCAAGGCTGGATGCAGCCGGGGAGAGGCATGGGGCCAGAGGCGTGAGCTGGGCTCCCGGAGCTGCCACCCATCAAGAGGTGAGACGGCGGCGGCCCAGCCAGCGCGATGGGAGAGTGGCCGAGCGTCGCCTCTCAGAGCCCCTTCTGTTCTGGAGCAAAGAGAGAAACAGACGAGGTGGGGCGGCAGCAGGCAGAAAGGCCAGGGAACACACAGAGGGCTGCCCGGCTCACCCCACTTCTGCTGTGGGATGGAATCTTACTGAGGAAGGCCAGTGCAAGGAGAGCAGCTGAGCTCAGGATGGCTGCGATGACGGGAATGCCAATGTCCTTAAACACTTTCCCGGCCCTCTGTGTCTTGTGCACCAACACAGTCTGTAGACAGACAGAGAGAGAGAGAGAGAGAGAGAGGTGAGACTGGGAAGCCGCAGGGGCTTCTGGCCATGAGGCCCCCCTGCCCAGACCTTCATCTGCAATGCAACCTACTTGCAGCTCCAGAGTCGGTAGTGAGATGTATGCAGAAGGGGTCTCTTTCCACTTCCCAGGGAGTAATTAGCCATCCATATTGGGGATTAGGACAAAGTGTTTTCAGGAGTGGACCACACAGCTCTCACCCATGGTTGAAGCCCCCCGCCTTCGCCTTCCCTCCCAGCCCCATGCATCTCAGAGGCCTGGATGTAGATCTCTAGCTGACGGTTCCACTTTTAAATAGGCCTTGGATTCAGAAATGTGTGTGTGTTGGGACAGGCTTATTATGCCTGGGACCCAAGTGGCAATGGCCCCCCTTCCGGGCTTTCCCGTTGTCCACTCCAAGGAGACTCCTGGGTGAGGAAGGTGGGACTGAGCAAACCAAAGGGCGTAGGACTGGCTAGGAGAGCTATCCAAGGTATGTCAGGGTTAGTCCTGAGGTTGGGGTTATGCAAAATTCCAGACGTCTGTTTAGAGGCACCTAGTGCTGCTTCCTCCATGGAGTGGCCAAGGCCTCCTGTGTCTGGGGTTGGCTCTGGAGGCCTTAGGTCTATGGAAAGTGTCGCTGTTGTGAGCATAGCAGAAGCCTGTTGGGATTATTCCCAGATACCACCAGCTCTCCAATACCACTTGCTGGGGAAGAGAATGGGACTGTCCTGGGGGGGGGGCTCTCATGGGGACATCTGGCTGGCCCCTGGGCCAGGAGGCAGGACTAGAAAGACCTCCCGAGGGTGCTCTGCTTCCTGGAGTCTTCTGGAGCATTTACCTCTGTGGCTGAGTGGCTGCTCCATGTCCTAAAAAGCAAAGGGAGATGCCATCAGGATGGAGGGGGTGTCCAGGCAGCATGTCAAGGAGCAAGCAGGGAGGCAGGGGGTCTCTCTCGCACGCGTGCGTGCACACACACACACGCATGCACACACACACACCATGCAGCACCTTGGAGAGCTCTTTTAAATCCCAGCCTACACCTGGAACAGATTCACAACCCCCCCTAAAATAATCAGAAGCCTCTGTTGCCAAAGTTCTATCTAAGGCGAGGGGCGGGGGGGTGGGGGGTGGGAAGTGGCTGCAGGAAACCACCAAGCCCTCTGTGTTCAGCCACAGTGCGCCCCAAGCCGCCCCGGCTCTAGCAGGCAGCAGCTCTGGGATGGCTGGCTTGCTCGGTATCATCTGGCCCTGGATTGCCTTGCGGGTTCTCCTCTCTCCTCCACGCTGGCTTCTTGTTTCAGGGGAGGGGGAGGGCAAGGAAGAGAAGAGCTCCGGGAAGAGAGGGGCTCCAGAGGAAATACAGCAGGGGGCCGGCATCTAGGCACTTCTGAGGCATTTGCACACCACGCTAGGGAGCAAGGAGGACGTTCCTGGCCTCGCCTGCTGGGAAGCCCAGCCCTCTGCCGCCAGGCCCTGCTCAGGCTGGCATCCTGGGCCTCATTGCCAAGAGACTCCCGGTTGCTCCTGGGGAGGAAATGTCCCCTTGCTCCATCCCTCTGATTCCCCTTTTGGGACCAGGGAGGAGCACCTATTGAGCTGCAGTGGGAAGTCTCCGGATTTTACAATGACAGGTAAGGCTCGGGGTTTTGATGCCAGATTCCATGTGAATGGAAAACAAGACACTCGAAAGCAAGGGGTGGGAGGGAGAGTGCCTCTGAGAGCAACCTGGTGCCTTTGGCCTGCGTTCAGCACCAAAACTACCCCATAAACTGTAATGGACCATGTCCCCTTGGAGAGGGATGAGGGCAGGGCAGCCCAGGGTGAGCTGGGGACAGTTCTGGGCCCCTCGGTGGCTTTCGGAACCATCGTTGAGTCTCCTTCTGGACAGGCTAGATGGACTAAGAGATGGAGTGAGGGAGCTCTCCAACTTCTCTGGCCTGGCCTTTCCCTCCCTCCCTCCCTTCCAAGAAGTAAACCTTATGGATCATACAGACAGGGGTCAGTCATTACTCTCCCCCCAAATGTGGGGTTGGGATTCCCCCTTGTCCCACATGGAACACCTAAGGGGAGGAGGGCATTCTTTTGCGGAAGGGATGTCAAGAAATGCTGGGCTTCCTTTTAGCATCAAGGGGGAGGGAAAGAGAGAGAGAGAGAGAGAGAGAAATACAGAAAAGTGCTCGCGGGTGCTTCTCCTCTCCTCGGAAACTGTTCACTTGGACCAGTTTGCAGCTGCCTCATGATTTCAGCAGAACTCAACTAAGAAAAGAGCCCCCTTCTTGCTTCCCATCTGATGGGCGGGGGAGGGGAGGGGGGAAGAAGCTGTGACAACGCTGCTGGGTTAGGCTTTTGCTGCCACCTGCTGGCAGCCTCACACGGCATCCTTTCGTCTGAGACCAAACTGGGTGAAGGGGGCAGCGGAAGGTGGCCGGTGGGAAGCAGGAAAGGGAAGAGAGTTTAGGGAAGCCACATGGGGACTGGTCAGGCTCTCCACCGTGGCTTCGAAGGCCCAGGGCGTGATGCCTTCCATGGGCAGGAAATGTGAGCACAGCTGGTGGAAAAGAGCAAGCCGCCAAATGCGGGTGGAAAGGCTCCCCCCTCCCCTTGGAGGTGCTTCACCACAGCTGGACAGAGAGAGTCCTGGCTGGCAGTGGGACAGCTGGACTGGCGGGAGGAGGGGCCAGTGGCCACAGTCTTCTCCAGGATAGGACCCTTTTCCTCTACCAAGCCCTGCCTTGGGGGGCGGGGGGGGGAAGTCGACTTGGTGCTCAGGGTTTACAGGACGGGAGGAATTCTCCCAGGGAAGATGGGACAGAGATTCGGAGGCGTTTCCCACCTGCCTTGGGTGCCACATAGGATGTTGACATGGACGGACGGATATCTCTGCCCGAGAAGACACTGGCTGTCCATTGGAGGCAAAGCGCATCGGG